TTGCCGAAAGGGGGTGTGGTTTGCAACGATGTGACCACACCAATGGCATTTACGGAAGAATTTAGCGAATCTGAGGAGTTACGAACAATGCATATATCGCGCACTAAAAGTTTAACGCGACATTTTTTACCGCTAACCAAATTACACTGATACGCTGAGAGATATCATGTATATGACACCACCAGCTATCCCATGTATCGGCACCCCTGAACACAAAAACAAAAACTGTTAACACACAAAATGGTATGATCGCTCGAAACGCTGCGATATGCACTTCCCGAAAAAAATATAGAAACAGTAAGAAATATGTTGGTCGATTCTTAAAAATCTTACACAGCTGCAAAAGTCAAAATGTCCTGAACGCATCTCCTTTTGTTTTAAAACAATGTGGATCTGTTTTACGAAGAAACGCAAAGTGCGCAGAATATTCGGTGTTCTGTTAACTTTGACGGTGTCTATGTCCATACTACCGAGTGTGGCACACATAGCATATACAATTAAGCCGATTAACATCTTAAACAATAGGTGTTGCCAGTCTGTTGTATTAGTTGTCTGAGAGCCAACTATAGGCACTTTTTCTTTTTCAGGAGACATGTTAGTATCCATAAATACCTTTTTGATAAATTCTTCAATAAATTTGTTAATTGTGAACAAATATCAGGGGTGGTTTTTTTCAAACATTGGTTGGGCTGTTATAAATTTTTCAAATAAGATGATTGTTTCTTGATAGACTATTATTACGTATGTCCTCTGAAACTGGATTTCTCATTTCAGGGAAAAGTGTAAACATGTATTGTAAATTTGCTTTCTTGTTTTTATGAAACATTTTTTCATACTTTATTTTTTATTTAGAACAAGACAAAATTGCAAGATGAATTTTTTGTTGATTATCTTCATCGAAATTATCTTTCTTTACAACTGCCTGATGGATGGAGCATCATGTTAGACAGAAAAGACAGTGTTAGATTTGCAAAAGTGGAAAGCATCACAGGAGAATCTCAATGTAAGATATCAAGATTTCTCCTCATTCATGAAGATTTACAGTGGAGTAGAGTTATTCATGGGAATACTGTATTTACCAAGAACAGTGGATGGCAGCAAATTCCTCAAATATTAAGAGATACAGAGACCTTAAAGACACTAATTGACTTGTTTTCTAGAGTGAATGTGTGCTGTGGGAACCCTGATTTGAAGTTCATAGGTTAGGGCAAAAAGTACAGAACCCACAAATGGATTTGCATCGTCAGAAAAGTCAACCGTCTCTGCCTACATTGAAGAGAATTATAATGGAAAATCTCTGCATGGTGTAGAGTATGACAAGACTGTTCGAAGTTCTGGTTGTGACATTATCACAGAGAGAAACAGATGTTCAAAGTGCAAGTTATATAGGAATTGTCTTCGCGCTATGTGGCATAGGAAAACCCATGTCAACAAAATCCATCCAAGCAGTTACACCAACTTAAGATATTTGAGCAAAGAACAACTACAAGAAACAGCTTATAGTTTACAGAAGGATAGAATCAAACTTCGTAATAGTTACATCCGTGTTGCAAGGGGTGCGGTAATAAGGGCTGAAAAAAAATAGGTATTATAAAGGGACTGTGATCAAACCAAACGTATCTCAACACCATTTACTCTAGATTCAAATACTTTTAGCTAATGAATGTACATTGCCTCCAAAAACATTATCCATACCAGAAAATTTCCTTTCTCATCCACTGGTTTGTCATTTATAGAATACTAGTTAAGTTTACATGCCAGCAACATTAGTTTAGTCTTAAAAAAATGTGTATATCATG